CGCCCCTGCTCCGGCCCGATGGAGCACCCGCTGGTGTAGTCCAAGAGCAAGCCCTTGTGTCATTCCCCCTCCTTTACTTCCCGGCCACCCCCCGTCTCCCCCCATCTCTCTGGCACAGACCCACGGGCGGGGGGATGCTCCCAGCTTGGCTGGAGTCCCTCTGCGGCTGAGTGCCGCTCACGCTGCATCGGTGGATGGCGGCGAGGGGGAAGACCAGCTCCCAGGCAAGGCGCTGGAGGTTATTCCCTCCTCCAGACGGAGGCCCACAGCTGACCCCCCTCCTCAAAGCCCCACAGTACTCCTTGGGGATGGATCTCATGGGAGAGCTAAGGGGTCCGTACTGGCCCTGCGCTGGCACATGCCCTTCCCAGCACAGAGTGACCTGCTAGTTACCACTCTGCAAGGTAGTCCCACACCACGGTAACCGGACCTGAAGCCGACAAGTGACCCACCAACGACAAGAGTGTTCACAGACAACCTGCTGTTGCTGTCAAGGCATTCATTTTTACCAACGTTTACGGCGTTTGAAATGGTTTCAACCCTTGCAAACTGGCAGATGGTGGACTGTTGGTCTTGGGTGTGGGGGAATGGTGCAGGCTGCTTGGTTTGGGCTTTGCTCTTTGGCCAAGAGATTGATGGGAGGGAAGGCAAAGGGTTCTCCAGGCAGCAGCTACCTGTCCAGGCGTTCCTGCGTGTGGCAGCCCAGGAGTGGGTTTGGAGGGTGCTCAGGTGGTGTTAACAGTCTCGGCCATTTGCAGGAAGAGGAGCCGTGAGTATCCTGGAAAGCAAGTCAACAGTTGTTCTGGTGATGATACGTTGTCCCAAGCCCTTTCCTTTCCATCCCTGTACCTCACTGGCTCTGGCGGCCAATTCCTCCTCATGTATCTGCTAGCATGTCTGAGGGATCTCATCGCTGCCCTCCCAGCACGAGCTTTCATTGCACAACTGGCTGACCAGATGCAGCCCTGTACTTGGAGCTACAGGCAGGCTTGCCCAGGACCAGGCCACCCCCATTAAGCACCCACCCCACCCTCGCTACTGGAGCTGTTCCTTCATCAGCCTGATACTGATCTGGGTCTTTTCTGCTGTTTCTGAAAACGAGTTCTCATCTCATTCAGGTGTGTCATTCAGTGGAAATATTTTGTAAATGCAAATAAAAAGAAATAAATCTATTCAATACCTCGGTCTCGAGGATGGGAAACAAGTAGTGGGAGATGCCCGGGTGGGGAGGTTTCACAGCTGCTGCCGCTGGTTAAGTTTTGTTGCGGACGTAGCCCCTGGAGCATCCACAAATAGTTGGGAAGGGAGCTACATAACCTGCGAGGGCTTGGGGCTGAGCCCTGTCAGCACCCTTCACACGGCCACTGCTGCCGGGTACAGCCTCGCGATCCATCCTTTCTGCTCTGTAAGGGGGTGACACGGCGCAGGTAAAGGTCCTGTCGGCCGGCGGCTGGCGGCGCCACGGGCATCTGTATCCATCAGGCAGAGCAAGGCAGAAGCGGGTACGTGGCGAACAAATTATTTTGTGAGCACTGGGAAACAGTTTTTACTTTTCAACTCTGTCAATATGATCTAGCTCTGTCTGTCTCTCTATATATGTACAAACAGTATATCACAATGTTGCCTTTTTTGTTGGAAATATCAAAGTACAAAGATTGTAAACCAAATCGGTGTAATAAAAGTTTCAGATGATTCACTGAGGTGGCTGCCAGTGGTGGGTCTGTGAGCGCTGGTGCCGGGCAGGGCTGGGGGACGCCTGAAGCCCTTGCATTGCCCAGAGGGCAGGAGGGGAGGGAGGTCAGCCCTCTTGCTTAATTCCCTGCCGACCTCTCCTGAGCGGGGCGGTGGAAGGACCGAGGCAATCAGGTATGTGCCCTCTCCTGTCCTCAGGTGGGCACAGCCCATGGCGCAGAAGGAAGCTGCTCCGTTTTCAACCCTGTGGGCTGTGTGGGCCAGCAGTCCTGCAGGGACCCCTCTAGCTTGAAGTTATGCAAAACACAGATTTTTTTGACAAGTTTGCACGGAAGAGCACTACTAGTTAAGGTAAGCATCTGGTTGTAAAGAATTTACCTGTTTGCAAAGCAGGCTAGCACTGATCAAAGGCATAGCAACCCAAAGCAGGAAACCATGGTGGAGAGACCTATAATTTAGTGAAATTTTTTTTTTTTTACTCTTCACCACCCATATCTGAGACTCCAGACAGATTTTGCTATGAAAACGAATAAATCCTTGAGCAGAGCAATAGCCAGAAAAAGCTGTCAAGGAACTAGAAACAACATTCCCTCTATCCTCTATGCATCTCACGTCCTCCTCGGCAAAAAGCCTAAAATAGCTGCCTGCCCTGAAGGTGAGGTCTGGACTAGATCATTTAGATGGTGGAGACTTCACCTTAGCTGCTTTACAGGTGGAACAACATCCAGTTGCCTGAACTAAGCTTGCTGCCCGAGCACGTAAGAAACACCACAGGAGGTGGGATTTAGTCTTGGGTGCAGTGGGAGAGAGGGCTCAAGAGGCAGATTGCTACTGTGGTGCCACTACAGTCCCACGAGGTCTGATGTGTGTCTCATATTAAGTCACAGGTTGGGTGATGGGGATCTGGGAAAGGCTGCGCTGGTGGCCACAAGTTGAGTTTTTCTCAGAAATACGAATAAAAACAAGCCTCTGAAGTAAAGTAAAAGTCCAACACCTGCAAAGCTCTTTGTTCTCTGGAGCGTTTTCTTCAGAGGGGTTTGGTGGGGGGGTGCTGCAGAGCCCCCAGCCTCACCGCTTCCCTGTTGGCCCACACAATTTGGTGAATGAGGTACTCGGTCTCCTGGCCCACCTCTGCCAGGCGGAGGTCGAACTCGGTCAAAGCCTTGTTGTCCTTCAGCCCTTCAAGTAGCTGCTTCCCACCATCCTGCAAATGGGTGAGAAGGGGGGGTTAAAGGAGGAGATCTAAAAGTGAAGTGTATTCAATGGCAACTTCTGCTGCCGGTGATGGGGAGCCCATGAGATGGTGCCAAAAGGGACGAAGGCCTTCACCCAAGCCTGAAATGTTGCTCACAGGAGAAGTACACAGGGAAGGAGCGTAACCTTATGCAGCACTCAGTGATATGACACATGCTAATGACTCCGTGTCAGGAGTCCTCAAGCTCAGGCTGGTTAATAGCACGGCTGGCGATGATAACCTGAGAGGAGTCTCTGCTCTCCTCTGTCTCCCAGTCCCCAGCTCACTGCTGGCTGGGGACAAAGGGCGGTGTGATTAGCACGCTGCGCCTCGTCTCGGCAGTGGCGAGAGCCCCTGTGCTGGCAGCCTCCTGCCTGGATGCCATTTCCCAGGCTGGGTTGGCTTTCCTGGGGGCAACATCTCACGCAGCTGTATGGGACAGAAAACATGATGTAGATAGCCGTAGGGAGGCAACTCACTTTGGGGCATTTGCCTCCCTTACCTGAAGCATTGTCTTTAGGGATGTGAAAATTTGACTTTTTTTCCCCCATAGCTGTTCTCTTTCAGGTACCAAATACACCTCTTGCCCCCATCTCCTCCATCCCGGCGGTCTCTTCACCCCAGCACCCTGCCTCTTACACCTTTTGCCAAAAAGGACAGAGCAAAAAGGACTGGGAGGGAGTCTCTTTTTAATGGGGTATGGAGGTCAGGATTTGATGCATCTCTAGCAAAGACCCCCATTTTCCCAAAGATAATACCACCAGCCCACTTGTTGGGCTGCTGTGGGCCTTCACAAATGGGTCACAGGAGAGCTCATCAGAAGGAAGATGCTAAGCATAGAGATTATTATTCACTGAGCAAAAATCCTTCCATCCTTTCCGACCTTTGCCCCTTTGTATCATTAAACTCAAATGGTTTTCCACGTCCAGAATCATAAAACTCAGAACTCATAAAAGGTTTTCTGCCATCAAATCTTTTTAAAACCGTTGTCAAACACATTGATGCCAATATTCCTGCCAGCAGGGACAGCTGGTCTTGCTGTCTCTTTATTGTCACAGTGAAAAAAATCGAGGCAGCGCAGAAAGTTTAAAAGCCAGCATGATTGCATTTGGCTGTCTAGTTTCAGATTTCTAAAGCTCTTTTTAAACAGCAGAAGAAAAGGGTCTGGTTTGTGAGCACCTTGCATACTGCAGCTCTTAGGGATGTAGTAAGATCTGTGGATGCTCCTCTACCTAGAAAATGTAAGCCTGTGGTTTAGGAGCCACTTACAAGCACCCAGACGCGACACTTTTGACCTACTGCACCGCCCCAGAGCTGCAGGGTGAGTTAAAGGAGCTCAACAACCAGGCCAGTTTTCTAACAGTCTCCTCTGAGTGCGTGACGGACAGGAGAGATTCTGGGAAGGGTGACACTATCTGTGTGCTGCTGAGTGACAGATGGCAAAGCACAGATGATATGCATGAGGCCCTCGTCTCATGCTGCCTATCATTATTATCTACTCCCACGTGTGTGAAGCGGCTGCGATTTTTCCCAGACATACTCCCTGGTTTTCAGTTTCCTGGGGGGAAAATCCCTCTCTGCCCAAAAGCCCAAAGCCTACAGGCCAGATTCAGCCTTGTGAACAGAGCTAGATGTAACGAGCGAGATAAATGCATGTGCGTGCACAGAAGATGTCCTTCTCCTTCCTGCCGTCTGCTAGAGTCTCTTCCCTGCTCGCAACTGATTGTTATCGCAGCAAAATTGCAAAGTGAGGGATGCATTGGCCTCTGCAGCTTCGAGGCAGGGCAGGCTCAGCATCTGCTTTGCAAGGCCACCAAGCAGGCTCACAAACTGGAGGGAGAAGGGGTTTCTCTTACCAGCCCCAGGTGGTTGCATGAGAAGTTGATACTCGTCAGGGTGGTGTTCTGAGCCAGGACCTGGGAGAAAAGTGTAGCGGTTGGCTCTGACAGGTTATTACTTCCCAGATGGATGGACTTCAGGGTGGTGTTGGTCAGCAGGGCATGGCCGATCGCGTCCCCGCCTTTGTCCTCCAAGCAGTTGAGGCGCAGATTCAGGGAGGTCAGGGTGGAGTTCTCAGCCAGGGCTTGAGCAAGAGCCTGAGCCCCCAGGTGATGGATCTGGTTGTTACACAGATCGAGGGTTTCTAATCTGCTGCGGTTGATCAACTTGCCAACAGCTCGTGCCCCCTTGTCCCTGATGAGATTGTGGGACAAGTTCAACTCCACTAAGGAGGGGTGATCCAGCAAGTTACGGACAAGCAGCCTGGTCTTGTCATCGTCCACTTTGCTTCGCGTCAGCTTGAAAACCTGTGGGGATAAAGGACAGGGACACTGAAACAGCCAGTGCTTTGGATTGAGCTTTGTACAAGACCTCAAGGGAGTTAAGCCCATGGCCACCAGATAGGATTCATCTCTCTTCACTTCAGACACCTTTAGCCAGTAGGGTCAAGTAGTTGCTTTTATAGCGAGCAGATACTTCCAGCAGGCAGGGCCTGCCACTGATGTCCCATGCCTATTCTAGGGAGAAATGGTTCATCTCCTGGAAACGCCTGTTCCTCTCCTCTGACTCCATGGGATCTCTGACACGGGGGGCTATATTAAAACGAGATAAAGCTGCCGAAACATCTGCAGAGAGTAACAGCAGAACTCACCCCAGATCACAGTCGAACACTGTCTGAACAACCACATGCACCGGTGCTAACCCACAGTGCTCTTTGTGAAGGGCAATGTCCTACGTGGCCAGGGTGCCTCAAAAGCCACAGGAGAGGTAATTTCTCTTCTGGAAGCCAAGTGGACAAATATTTCCCAAAGCACACCAGTCTGTGGGGAGAGCGTTCAGCCAGCTCCCTCTGGCTGCACTCTGGATAGCAATGCCCACTGACGTTTTGGAGGGGCTGAGCATCTGCACTGCATTTGCCACAAAACTGAAGATTGTGTTAGCGCCCAGAAAGAAAAAGCCTCATCACTCTAAGGCAAATGTGAATATTTCCCCATGCTCTTCTTGGGGATCTCTGCTGGTCTGGGGCACGTTGATATGTATTTACTGAGTACAACCACCAAAAACTCCTTATGAAAAATTCTCTCTCGGCTTCTTCTCTTCTCCCTCCCAGAACTATGTGAGGAGTTAAAACAGGAGTGTTGCTTTCTCTTGGGTTACTGGGAACATGTTTTGTGGGAGCAAGTATTTTTCTCACTGACCTCTGACAACCTGTTCTAACAAGGACATATGCAGAACAAGATACTCAGCGCCAGGCCAGCAAGTTAACATCTCTGCACTCTGCCAGACTGCAGCTTGCAAAGGGAAGCGTGCAAAGCAAAACTGGTCCCTGGGTTTCTGTTCCCTGGGCAATTTGAAGATCTAGCTGAGGAAGAAATGTTCAGTTTGGGATACGTTACTTTCAAGTTGTGACACGTCTTCACAGCGACAGCCAGGTTGCAGCAGTCCTGGTGGGTGAAGTTAAAGAGATTCCACTCGAAGTTCATGCCACAGTCCTTCACGCCGTAAGTGAGATGAAGCTCCTCCAGGTGAGGGAGAGCAGTAATGAGGACTCCCAGGTCGTAGTGATGCGTGGAGACCTCACCGAGCCCAAAATCACTCCCTGTATCAGAGAGGTCATCCTTCTGCTCCTTTTGATCCACCTTCACCGGTGGTAGGAACTGATCAACCTCCAGTTTCCGCACATAGTCTTTACAGAGCGGGATGAGCTCTAGGACCTGCTTGGGGTCTGTGGTGTTAGGGATGAAACATTTCAGGATGTTCTCCAGGTGACGTTCGAAGAACATCCGTTTCCAGCTGTCTCCATAGTTGGAGATGTCACACACTTGCCAGCGCTCCGTGCAGCACCTCTTCCAGAAGTCCTCATCGCTTATTAGGTTGGCAGTCACAGCGAGCGGAAGGCCAGTGGAGAGCCTGTCCAGCACCTTCCTTTGGTGCTCAGGCAGAAGACGGTCCAAAATAGGGTTCTCTGGAGGGGAGGAAGAGAAGGAGAGATTGGTCTGCACTGTAGGAACCATGGCTGGCACCATGGTTCTGCTTGGGCCCCCAGCTGTGTGCCCATGCCCTCCCCGCTGCTGATACTCGCTCTTGTCTCAGTTGCCAGCGGCTGGTGCAGGGAGCCAAGCTGGCAAAAAAATGTGTGGGATCCATCTCCTGCATTACTGTGTAGGATTTCTAACTTTTACAATAAAACATCAGTGTAATTGGATTTACTCCCATAATATTTGGGAACTGCATCAGAAACTTAGCTCCCAGTTTAAATTTAGGTTGAATGTAGTTTATATTCAGAGCAGGTCTTCTGCTCCCAAGAGAGCTAATTCAGCCTTACAGCGATGGGAGAGCTTGGCTTGTCATTTGCTGAACTTTCTCCCTTTGGTTTCTAAGCATATTGAAGGATGATATTTGAGAACAATTGTCTGTGTGCTCTTCATGCAAGTCTTTGTGCCTTTTTATCTTTACTCATGTGTCTGTCTTACCACAAACTGATTCTTGTTCCTTTCCACTTAGACCCACTCTTAGCTTTTAGATCCATCTTGTTTAAATAAAAGTTCTCTTTTTCCAGGGCTTTCTCCCCTCAGTCTCTTTCCCGATGCTCATCCTAAGTCTCAGCTGGCTTCTGTCTGGTAGAAGTTCTTTGTGGTAAGAAATACTAGAGAAAAGCCATGTGTACTCACACCATAAACACTTGGTAGTACATGTACTGCGTACACGGTAGTGTTGAGTAATAGAAATCATCAGTGGAGAGGCATATCTGCGCATGGGAAATCAGATTTTGAGACACAAAGCGGGGTTTGCTTTGTATTTCCTCTGCCTCTGTGTCATTTCCTTCCTAAGGACACCCAGAGTTTTACCACAGCCTCTTCCTGGAGTCTCTTCTCCAGTGTCCTACAGCTGGCACTGCAGTGACCTTCTCTGCGAAGTCCCACAACACAAGCAGAGGTGGGACACGTACGGGCAGAACTGGGCTAGCTTCACTCGGGCTCACTCGGGCAGCACCAGTGAGCAAGATGCAGCTGCACAGCTCAGGTGAGGGTATGAGGGTCCCCAAGGCACCGAGCACACTGCTTCTATGTGCACGTAATGTAAGTCCAATTCATTTGGCATCGGACTGACTGACCAGGCTGATAGGACTGTAAGGGTCTCCCAACTCAGATCCCCAAGTACCATCAGCTCCTGGCGTAAGGCAGCACTGAGCTCTTCTATACTGTCTTACAGTCCCAACGAGGACATAGCCTTAGACCTATCTTTGGTCTTTGCTGCTACTCCAATGAGTCGGCCAAAAAGACAGGTAGGCTCTTTCTTTCCCCCTGCCGGTCAGTTCCCAGGTGAGACATGCTTTTTCTGTTTTGCTATGCTTCATCAGTCCACCTGTTTCAAAAGCACATTCCCTGCCTAAGGATATAAGTTGTCACATCACCACCAAAAGCCATGGAGAAGTCCTGAGACTGTGAGTACAATACGTATCTGAGATGGCAACTCCTCCGAGCAGGGAGCAATTCTCCATCTCTTTGTGCAGCACTCAGCACAACGGGGCTCCATCCTTGAGTGCTACCATAATGCACGCACGAATCAAGAGAAGGAAACAGTGACTTCACAGCCCTGGCCACGGTTGAGGTGAGTCCAGCAGAGCAGGGAAGGAAGAACAAATGATAGGACAAGGTTAAGGCAGAGTCACATCCTGGATAGCAGCCCAGAGGACTACAGCCATCCCTGGAATGTACAAGTACATACTTAGCAACTAAACAGTTTGTTTAACGGGCTGCCTGAGGGGATATTTCTCCCCAGCTGTTCCTTTGGCAGGGCTGGGTACCACACTCTGCCTTTCAGATGCACCTGCCTGCCTTGTTGACCCTCTGCTGCCTGGGACTGACACTCTCTCTCCGTGTGTCCCAGGGGAAACACGCTCCCGCTTACTTTCGAAATTGTGAACGATGTGCTGGAGGCAGAGCTCAGTGAGGCGGGGGACAGTGGCGAGGGACCACTCGGGATCCTCAATGACGCGGTGTGTATAGTACAAGTCAGCAGCGAGGCTGGCCTGGGATGGATGCAGCGAGGGAATGGCTGTGCTCCTGTCACCAGCCGCTGGCTGCTGCATCCTGCTCAGGACCCACTTCTCCTTCAGGAGAAGCAAGAGGAAAATTGCTTTAGAATCACCACCACATTTTCCAGCTGGGCTGCCTGCAAAAGAAAAAGGCAACTTTAGAAAGAGGCCAGCAAGAAGAATGGTCTACTCACACTGCTCTCCTGTAACGCACTTGGCCCCTGCCCGTTGCCTGCCTCCTCTGCTTGGACTGGAAGCACTGCAGCAAAACAACTATTCTTCAGCCTTATCTTTATACAGTGCCCTGTACAAAGAGGTCTCTAGGTACCACGTGTAATAAGCAGATAATAATGTGGTGTTACTTCAGAGTGCTGTTGAAAAGGATGGACAGGAATTGATTGTTTACTGTCTTTTCCAATAAAAGAAATAGGTGAAGCTGGCAGGAGCTGGGTTTAAAGTAAAGGAAAATGATGGTTCTTCACACGGCCTGCAGTTGACCTGCAGAATTCCTTGCCAAAGGATGTTGTGGATGCTGAGAGTCTGTGTAGGTTCCAGGACAAGTCTACGGAAGAGAAACCCCTTGAGCGTGATTCAATGCACAGAAACCACATCTGGCTCAGAGTGCGTTGAACATAGCTGGAGGCAGGGAGAACGCTGGAGGAGAGAAACAGACGTATTTGCATTGTTTTTCTACTCTTCTCCAGGCACCTGCTTCTAGCCACTGTCAGAGATGGGACACTGGGCCAGACCATCCCCTGGTTTGATCCAGTATGCCTGTTCTTATGAGTCTTTAAAGACAGAGGCTTTACAGATGAATACACTGTAAGTGTATTCGGGGGTTTTTTCTGCTTTTCCCAATTACTCTCCAGCTGAACTCCTTCCAAACATCCATTAACTGATGAGATGGGTCAGACCTCTTCAGACCACACTGAGCCTAAGCAGATATGAGCTAAAAGAACCAGCCTGGAGCAGAAGGCAGGATGCCCAGTCCTATCAGCTCTGCGGAGCTTTCCCAGACCACAGTTTCCCATTTGCTGTTTCCTACCCCAACCTCAGGACCAGCGCTCTCAGCCATCAGGATCCCATGTGTATGGTTATTGCCTGGAAGTCCTAATGGTTCCCTTCCCAGCCCCACCAGTCTGAAAGAGGCAGAGAAGACACTAGGAAGGAGTCTGTCCCTTGAGTTCTGGGTTCAACAAGAGTGCCCAGGCTTGGTGGGCATCTCCCAGGGCGTAGATGATGATCCTTACTGGGGCTAACTGGACATAACAGGGCTGCAGCACAAGGCTGGGCGGTTAGAGACTGCAGGACACCTAAAAGAAGCACGGGGCAGATGGATGGATAGCAATGTCAGAGGTGAGGACAGGTTCTTGCAAGACCAAGAGGATGCCTCGGTGCAAAGGCAGCCTTGCACCACAGTGTAGTCAAAAGGATCCTGTGGTAACATCCTGCACAGAAGGTAGCTGCCATGTAGTATCTTGTGTCACAAGATCCCTCAGCTGAACACTGCTTTGATCCCAAACAGCTCCTCCTTTGTGAAGGGCGTGAGCCAGACAGTGCTCCCCAGATGAAAGGTCTGACGTCCTTCCCCTGCACCAGGCTGCTCCCTTCTCCTCTGCCCTCCCAGTTTGTGCTGCCTCAGTCAGCGCAGGCCCCTCTCTCCCGGAAAGCTTTGTAGCTGGCTTTGCTAGCATTCCTCCTCCTGCTCCTTCCCCTTCCAAAAGACATCTGAGGAAGGGCCTGCAAATGAACCAGCAAAAGGGGGAAGAGAGGAGATCTGTGAAATGCCGAGAACCAGAGGAGAGGAGCAAAATGATTCATGCTGTACTGCAGCAAATATGTCAGCAAAGGCTTCTTCAAATGCACTTGAAGCAGGTCCGAGAAGAGAGTAACTGTTTCAGAATGAGAGTCAGCAGAGGGTGGAGATGGCAGCGGCAGGGCATCCTCCGGCAGAAAGCAGGAGGACGAAGGGCGCAAGGGCAGGGAAGCTGTATTTCCTGGGAGGCACTGGTATACGGGTGACAAAGGCAGAGGCTGTAGAAAAAGGGAACCTGCTCTGAAGAAGGGTGGGTGTGGAAGGAGAAGGAATGTGGGGACTGGGAGTCCTTTCTCTGCGAAGATCCCTGTGCCCAAAGGAAGGTGCTGTGATGGCGGTCCACCATTGAGGGGGAAGAGAAGAGGCCTGGTTCTCCACAGCACACTGACCCAGCTGAAACCCAGCTCTTGGTGCTTGACGGACTTCAGCAGG